GTTCTTTGCCTGTCCCTGGCAGGAGCACATGCTGATTTCTCTATGTGGAGAAGAGAGAAGCATCTATTTGCAAGAACTGATGACCTGTGTAAAATGAGGAATGATGTTTCCTGCTCCTGAGAAGCCAGGTTCCAGGGGCTCTTGGGTCCCAACCAACATCAAGAATATACAAACAAAACTGCATTTGAATTCTTGCTCTCTAAATGCAGTTGAAGTCAGGTTCACGGTTATATGGCAGAGAGCCTGCCCTATATATGTTGGGCCCTGAATTCCACCCCTGGAGCTAGGGAAAAAACAAATGCAGCCAACCTGCTTTCTTCTAGAAGTACTTAAAAAACCGAGACCAGCACCCAGGAGCCATGATTACCAAGGGCCCTCCAAAGTAGTGTTCCCTTGCTTACCGCACTAAAGATGAAAGCTCCAAGGCTTGTTGGAGGATCAGTTGTTAGGATATTAGATGATGAAATAACTATTAGATGCAGTTTCTCTACCTGTCTGATTCTGTGTTTGTTTCCCTAAGAAAATGGCCCAGCCCATGTGGTTTTGTAGACCTGTTTGTTCAGATGGTGGCACACTCACCCCTGCCATTCCCACCCAGGCTGCCTGGCAGAGTTCAGAGTTACAAAGGTCTCCGGCAGCCTCTCTGCAGGAGGCCATCTTCCTCCCTCTCCACCACAAAGGAGAATGAAAGGCAGGTTGCTTTACTGCTCCTGCACCAGAAGCAGTCTGGGGGAGCTCAGCCTGAGCTGCTTCGAAAGGCCCAGTGTCTGTTGGAGTGAGGGAAGAGAAGAAAGCACTCCATTTGGATCAAATGCCCTGACAATCTATGTGCAGTCTTTATGACAAAGACGTATGTGGGTAAGCCTTTGATGTTTAGATCACTCAGCCCCATTTCCCAGGAGCCTCAAACTCCCAGTTAGCTAAGCAGATGATGTTAAATTGAACTGTTATTAGTTTTGACCATGTGTCATTATAAAAATACCTTGACTATTGGAAGCACTGTAAATAATTTTAGCATCCAAATGAAAAGCAAAACTCTTAAAATCTTCATGTCAAAAAAAATAGAAAACTAGGAGATAAAAATGTTGTTTTACCGCAGAGATAATTAGCTTATATTTTAGTGCCTTTGCACATGGTTTTATGCTCCTGCCACGAGGTAGACAACTGTTTTTCTTCCCTGTTGATTTGCGTGTCATGTCAGCGCGATGCCCCCAGCAGGCATCACAACTCTGCTGCACAGGCAGGGTGGCGACCCATTGATGCCTCTTCCTTTATATGATCTGATCTAGAAATCAGCAAAAAAGAGAAAAATAGACTCGTCATGAGGCAGTCTTTAGTGAAACTGTAGTATGCCTTCCATTATGTACAAAAATGGGAATTCTAACACGCTCATAAATGGACTCCTAGTTTTTAAGCAGCTGAGGTTGTAGCAACTTTGACAAAGGTAGAAAATGACGTGTTACTCATCCATATACTCTTCTCTTTGTGACTCAGTCTCCATATCAGGTTTTTAAAATGTGTTCTCATACTTCAGAGAAAAATAGCCTTGATTAAGGAACCCATATTGAAGAAGTGGACATCATAGCCGTCCATCCCTAAGGGTGACTTACAAGGCTAGTAAAAACTACAGTTGCATAGCTTATTACTGAGAGAATCCTTTCATGAAAACAAAAATGCATTTGGAATGATGATCTATTAGTGACAAGGTCTACAAAACAGAGCAAAGGAAAAATGACCAAACTCATCCGCTAGAGTATGGAGCAGATAATGATGTGGAGAATTTCAAGTTGCCATGGAGATGTGCTCTGGCTCATTGGCTGCGCTGCTGCAACCCACAAAGCAACCTCTCTCTTCTGGGCTCCGAATGAATTCAGTGATATTCCAGGAAGATTTATTTACCTTTTGCCATGTGCCTAAAAGTACAGCGTGGGGAAGATCAGAGAGCCCTGCAGCATTTTCTGCTGAAAATAATGTCTCCTACAAAGTGTTGCACACAGACAAAACTATATGCTCAGTACAGCTCAGAAGGTGATTAAATATCCAGAGCGTAGTACTGCCAAGAAATCTTTTGTTAGATAGACTGAGTCAAAAGCCAAGTTTACCAAGAAGTCCTGGTGGAAGAATAATATGAGGAATTGGTAGTATTTGGCTGTAATATTTTCTATTATAAAATTAGTGTTTCATTTATTATATTTATTTATTATAACATTTTGTACAGTTGGTAGTATTTGGCTCTGATTAGGCACTTAGTTAAAGGAACATTTCCCAGATGAGGAGAAACATTGAACGGAGTGTCTAGAGTCTGGGGAACAGGGAGGTAGGGGGGGAAATGGTAGAGTCGTTCAGTGAGTGAGTGATATGGTTAACAGGTTCAGCAATATTATTGAGATTTTATTTCATTGACTCCAGAAAATGGTTTTAGGTCTGTGAGTAGGTTGGTAAAGTAAGGAACGGTTGGTTTAACAAACACTGGTCATGTGTTAGATAGGAGTAGAGTGAAACTAGAGGGGATCTAAGCTTAATCTGAATGGCACATGTCATCAATGGGAAAAGAAGGAATGTTTACAGAGACACATCACAGTAGAGGAGAAGGCTATGATGACACCTGAAATCCTCTGTGAATACTGAGACATCTGAAGCTCATGATCTGGGATTGGACTGTAAGTGGAGCCTGGTCTTTCACTGTCTGGCTTGAAGCAGGACAAACCAAAATTTAATCTACAGGATTTTCAGAACAGTGAAGTGCCTCTTATGATCTAGTATAACCTGTAGAATATGCAGTAGTAAATCCTGATGTAAACTATGGACTGGGGGTGATGATGATATGTCAATATAGATTGATCTTTTTAGCAGTGTGGACCAGGAAGGAGATAGCCCAGAGAGTATGGAGGAGAACAAGCTTACTTTATGCTCAGTTTTGCAGCGAACATTAAAATGTCTATAATAATAAAGTCCATTAAAAACAAAATATTCTAAGTTTTCTTATACACACTATACTATCATTAGCTGTAGTCATTAAATCCTAACACTCTTTATCACAAGAAAAAATAAAAGAAGGGGCTGGAGCAATAGAACAGCAGGTAGGGTGTTTGCCTTGCACGCACCCAACCTGGGTTCAATTCCCAGCATCCCATATGGTCCCCCGAGCACCGCCAGGAGTAATTCCTGAGTGCATGAGCCAGGAGTAATCCCTGTGCATCACTGGGTGTGACCCAAAAAGCCAAAATAAATAAATAAATAAATAAGTGTAATTATGAATGGGGTCCCCTAGAGTTCATGTTGCAGTCGCTTCACAAAATGTACAGGTGTCAGGTTATATTTTTCCCACTACCTCAAGTACAAAAAATAACATTAATTTCCTGAGTCAGAGCATTTAAGAGATGAACTAGCGCAGCGTTTCTCAGTTGGGAGCTTAAGGGCCTCAGTGGGCACCCAGGACTTTAAAGAGGGCAACAGGTGAAAATCACATGATGGGGGCATAGCATGAGACTACGGACCACAGTAAGGAAACATGGTCAGGAAACAGTAGGAGAAACACTGAGCCAGAGCGAGCGGATGCAGACAGACGGCGCCTTCCTTCCCAAGGAGGGCTCAGTCCTGAGCACATGCTCACCCAGATGACTGGAAGCTGCGGGGTCTGCAGAGTAGGCAGAACGGTGAAAGTCAATGCATGAGCTTAATTGGACACATTAAAGAGGTTCTGCAAATACATTCCTCATTTCTTGGTTGGGAGAGTTAAATATCCCTAAACATGTTCCCACAATACTGACAACATTTTATCAGGAAGTAAGAGACAGAAGACCAAGTTCCTTTTTCCTCCGTGATTTGTGATTTGAAATGAATTATTTATTGTGGCCATAGTTTGTTTATTTGATTGGTTCAGATCATTAATACGAGGATGCTAATTTGAGATTGCAGTGTCATTGTCATGGTATCTATGATGTATCTAAGTATGTTGACCTCTTTGAATAAAAGAGTGCTACTCTGACTACCTAAAATTGAATTAAGGAAATAGCTTCATTTTAATCTGAAAGAAGACAATTAAAGTCAACATAAAACAATAGTTTGAGCATTCACAGATTACTGTCACTGCTTGCATCTCATCTCTCATTCAGAGAGTCCTTGCTTATAGGGAATATTCATGAATAAGTCAAGTATATTGATAGCATAAAGACCCATAATACAAAAAAAGAGTTTTGGCATCTAAAGCATGTAGATTTAAATATATGCATAAGACTCAAAGCCTTTGAAGGTACTGCCTGAAGAGTGGCTGAGTGACGCAGACATCACACACTCAGGTCAGTCTCTGAATTACCTCCATCTCCCTACAGACTCAGTGCTGCCCAGGGTTATTGCTTTAATAACGCACATGTCTGCTGTTAATGTTTACCAGCTAGCTAATCAGAACTCTAGAGAATACATGCCATGTTTGCATTGTTACAAGGTACACATCATTTTACAATTAACTTCATTACAACTGGAATGTAATCACACAGCATTACCTCTCTTCATTTTTTACTGTGACACTTTAAAATAATTATATCTATAGATACATGTTCTCTAGGTGCCATTTGTGCATATAAATGATACTTGTTTTTATAAATATACACAATATGCTCACCTAAATATTTCTCTGGGTTTTGGTCATATTTACAGTATTTACATTAAGAGGGATATTTTGTATTAGCATCATATGAAATAATATTTTTCACTTTCTTCTTAACTATGCAATAAAAAGTCTGTTTCACAAATTAGGCAATGGGGAACCATGTGAAAATCACTGTAAATGTCGACTAACAGCACATATTGTGAGTGTTTTTAATAGCTAATTTCAGAGAAATATACTTGTGGCGATTTATAGAGAGACAGTAATCTGAAAATGCAAAATATACTTGATTACATTTCAAGCAGATTTTTAGACTTGTCATCAAGTTTAGAATAAAGGAATATTTTCTAAAGATCTCACACAATAATGCCATTAAATATTATCCTTCCCTTAGGCCACGCAGTGCAGATTATTTTATGCAAGAAGCTAAACGGATGAAGCATAAAGCAGATGCAATGGTAAGACCCTTCCTTTCCAGATAGTCTTTCAAATTATGTTTGTATTTCAGCTTCATCATTGGGCGATATAGCTAGGGTAATTATAAAATCTATTACAAGGATGGCTGGGTCTGTTAAATGGAGAAATGTTTATATAATCAAGTGCTCATAGCCCAATAAATTATTACTTCAACCAATAATGTCTGACTTGGAGAAAGCCCTGGATAGATGAATATTTCAATTAAATCTTAAGGTTTGAACTAGAGGCAGTGGAGTCAGTAGGTGCTAGTTGTTTTTTTTTTTATATAAGAAAAATAGGGTTTGGGAGTTTCGGTTTTGTTTTTTGTTCTGTTTTGTTTTGTTTTGTTTTGTTTTGTTTTGCTTTTGTCTTGGTCCCAGGATCAAATCCCTTTTTGAAAACACTCATGTTATTCACATGCATCTGCCAGAATGATCCTTCCTCTGAAGCTGTACAACCCAGAGATCATTAAACTCACATTAGATGTTTAAGTCACCATGATTTGATATTTTCAAAGAGTAACTTTTCTTGCTTAGATAATTTCCTACATGGTGCTTTAAGGCAAATTCGTTTTTGCTAAAAGAACCATACAGTTGTTCATCCTCCAGTCTTGTCCAAAGGAAGTCCCTCCTGCTTAGTCATTCCAATTCTGCTGTTCTCTGGTGCCCTTAAGTAAGATGAGGATGATGGGATGAGCAAAGCTCTTCAGATGACCTTCAGAGCTTCATTCCTGGGTCAAGGTTGCATCACCCCTCTCTCCCAGTGCTGCTGACACAAGCATCTCTGTGAAGATCATTGTCTAGGTACACTTGAGTATGAGGGGATAAATCAGACTATCATAAAGCATAGAAGGAAAATAGTGAGAAACAACTATTGCCCTCAGCCCCACAATCTGATAGAGAGTGTTGGTCACTCATAGTTACTCATTCTTGGTCATCAGCTACTGGCTATGAGCTTTGATTTTTAAAATTTTGTGACTGAATCATTCACTGTCATAATGCCCACCTGATCATTGCTCTGGGTGCTGCTCTGGCCAGACTGTCCTGCTGTCTGCACTCATGTGCTCACACCTAATCACATGCCAAGGAGATGCCTGTGCACCAGGAGAGCCTATACACACTCATAGCCCCCTCCAACTCACATACATGCTGTCAATAACACTCACCCCTTGTGTCTTCCACATATGTGGCCCAGTTCGTCAATCATCCTTCCCGTGCCCAGTTCATTCCTCTCTGTAGCCTGTCACTTTCTCCCTTCCCACGTCACATTTTGAGTTGGACTCTTTGCTTTGCATTTTGTTAGTTCATCACGAACTTCCTTGCACATCGAACCAACCTGTGGCTACGTGTTTTTCTCTTCAGAAGCACATAAATACTTCTGGGAGGAGCTTTTGTGTCAAGTACACATAAAACATAACTGCGTACTAAAGGCTGGAGCAATAACACAGCGGGTAGGGCATTTGCCTGCACATGGCCGACCCAGGTTTGATTCCTCCATCCCTCTCAGAGAGCCCAGCAAGCTACTGAGAGTATCCTGCTCACACAGCAGAGCCTGTCGAGCTCCCCATGGCATATTCGATATGCCAAAAATGGTAACAAGGCTCTCAATGGAGACGTTTCTGGTGCCCGTTCAAGCAAATTGATGAACAACGGGAGCACAGTGCTACAATGCTACAGTGCATACTTAAAATGCTTGTTGAGTTAAACAACATCTTAACCTAAATAACCGCTACCAAAATGTTTTACTCTCTACTCTGGCATTTCTCAATCAGGGCCCTACTGTAGGCCCCTAGATATTCTAGGAGGCCACAGACGAAAATCACATAAATGAGATCAACCAGTAGGACAGAGGAGTGATATGGTTGGTGGGGTGCCACAGCTGGAGAAGGATTAAGGTACACTGTGCACCAGGAGAGCCTGGTTTAGTGATTATTATTATTAGTGATTTAAGTTTAAAATTTTGATTATATTGAAAGAGAGTATCTCACCCACATGGCAAAGCCTGGCAAGCTAGCTATGATGTATTCGATATGCCAAAAACAGCAACAACAAGTCTCACAATTTGTTGTGAGATGTTACTGGTGCCCGCTCAAGCAAATCTATGAACAATGGGAGGACAGTACTACAGTGCTATAAAAAAGAAGGAATAATAGGGAAGTATGGAGATGTAATTGTCAGAAATGTGAAAGATAATAACCGTGACCTTAAACCATCAAAGCTGGAGTGTACAAAATGAATTAAGAAAAGTCTTTGTTTGGAATCAGATTTTTTTTCTTGTTGGGTCATACCCGGTGATGCACAGGAGCTATGCCTAACTCTGCACTCAGGAATTACCCATGGCAGTGCTCAGGGGACTCTATGGGATGCTGGGAATTGAACCCGGGTCAGCTGGTTGCAAGGCAAACACCCTACCTGCTGTGCTATCGCTCCCGCCCCTTTGGAATCAGATTTACTGACTTCCAGTGTATCTTCAGCACAGCATAGGCGGTAAGACCGAAGGATGAAGTTGCAGACCAGGAGAGATTCCACAGGCAAACAGCAGAGTTGCCACGTGTGGCACTGGCTCGGTGGATCCTAAGTTTCCGTGCATCACCATTCACTCCCCGACTCTGAATCGGGAGCAACTTGGGGAAATATCTAGAGAAGGAAGTGTACTGTGGCTGTCTTAGGGTTCCTTCACAGGATTGAGGAGCTCGGTAACTTAATAACTCAACTTATTTATTGAGGATAAGTCAAGTTTTTCTGTGTCAGCACTGTCTCTGTACTTAAAGGAAGGTCTTTGTTTGCTGTGTTGGTCAGGTGGAGAAGTTCGGGAAGGCTTTGAACTACGCAGAAGCAGCCCTGGCATTCATCGAGTGTGGAAATGCCATGGAGCAGGGCCCGATGGAGTCCAAATCCCCGTACACGATGTACTCAGAAACAGTGGAGCTCATCAGGTGACAGCGATGTTTCCTTGCTGGGGACAGGGCAGGAGATGAGGAATTCCCAGGAGTACTGAGAACCCTGGGGAAATGGCAGCCATGCCATCCGCTGCCAGAAACCAATGGTCACGCCCCCAAATATGAAAATATGATTTTGCCAGAACCTTCCCCATACCCGGGCTTTTTTGCCTTTTTGTGCCTGATTGTGGCAAAAAAAACTGGGGCTGTGTGAATTGTGCATGCCCATGCCACCCTCTTAGGAAGTGACAGATTCTGAGCCCATTTTTTTTGAACCTCTAACCTGTTTTTTTCTTTAAAAAAAATCTGATTCAGGTTAGTGTAACCTGAATTTTAACTACATGAAAAATGAGTCAAAACTACATAGAAAAGAAAGGGAATTCTGGGGATTTATGAAGGTGCAGCCGTCTTCTCAGAGGGAACCACGTAACTCTGAGCTGAAGCCTACACAGGCACCCATCCTGGAGCAAGACATGTCATGTGAGGAAAGCAGCGTTTCTGACAGACTTGGCAAGGGGCTGGGTGGGAGATTCTTCTGTCCACACTGGAGACCCGGGAAGGCACACCTTTCACATCTCCTTAAGAAAACACCAAGGGAGTTAGTTGATCCCATCTTCCTGCTGAGTTTTGTCATAAGACTTTTGTTTTGAAGGAGAAGGTCAGGCATTTAAGGGTTGCACTCATTTGTGGAATATAAAAAAATAATAATAATATGAGACTAACACCCAAGGACAGTAGAAACAAGGGCAATGAGGATTACCCCATAGTTTGGAAACCTGTCTCATGAGCTGGGGAAGAAAGCAGCTGGAATAGAGAAGGGATCACTAAGTCAATGTTGGTTGGAGGGTTGCTCAGCATGGGAGATGTGTGCTGAAAGTAGATAAAGGACCAAACGTGATGGCCTCTCGTATCTGTATCACAAACCATAATGCCCAAGAGTAGAGAGAGAGTAAGAAGGAAATTGTCTGCCATAGAGGCAGGCGTTGGGGTCAGGGGTGGGGTGGCAGGAGGGATATAGGGGACATTGGTGATAGAAAATGTACACTGGTGGAGGGATGGGTCTCCAATCATTGTATGACTGAAACTCAATCATGAAAGCTTTGTAACTATCTCTCCATTGGTTCAAGAAAAAAAAGAAAAAAAAGAAACTAGAAGAATCCCTTTAGTGTAAACCCCAGGCATACATGGTAATATATACAATAGCTATATTTTATAAAAGTAAAAGCCAAAAAATTCTAAAGAACCAGAAAACAATGATCCATTAGCTTTAGAGAAATGCTAGTTATACTGACAGCAAAGTTCTCATCTGGAACCATGGAAGTCAGAGGAAGTGGCATGATTTTTCAGGTGGTGAAAAAAATTTAAAACTATTTTTAAAAACCACTTGTCAAATCATGATGTCTACATTCAGTAATAATAACAAGATTCTTTAGGGGGGAAATGGGAGAAGGAAAACTAAAAGTTTTTTGTTTTCTCTGACTCCCCTAAAGACTGGCTAGTGGAAATTCCTCACAGAAAGAAAATGATAAATGGCTCTTGAGACATCGGGGGGGGGGGGGGGGGGGAAGGAAGAACAAAAATGTAGATATATTGTAATAAACTAACCTCTCTGAAAACTTTGAAACTCCCTCAAGACACTGCAGAATCTGCATATTATGGAGATTATACAGTACCAGTGGCCTTCCTTGAGCAATTGACAACAAACTAGCCCAACTTGCCCTGGGCTTTACAAATGCTCTCAGTAATTCCTTGTAAAAATACTGGGTATTGGTCATTTTAAAAATGACAATAATATACTAAGTTAAGGAAGCCAAATAAGCCAAAGAATACAGACTCATCCATCTGTTTCCCACTGATTTCAGGAATCCCTGACTTTTCCGCAGGATGCTTCAGTTCTCTCAAGGAGTCTGCAGTATTAATTGGATGACTTCTTAGAAGAAAGAAATGCCCACAGTTCTCTGGTTTCAGAGAAATTTGTGGAGTTCCTAGAGCAGTTAAGAGTCCCCAAAACACTGACTCTGCTGTCTAGTAAATTTCCTTCTGGTGAACAGGGCTGAATCCTAGTAGCACCCAAATCTGGCTGAGGTGGTTCTCTTGACAGTGACATTGGGGCATTCTCTAACCCTAACCAACCCTAACCTAACCCATGCATAGAAAACTCCTGAGCTGATCTTGACTTTCTGTAGCTTTTGGAATCGTTTTGTTAAAGAGCAAGAAAAAACTCAATAATCGTAAGTCGTCTTAATTCGTTATCACAGAAATGTAATGCTGAGGGGAAATGGGGCAGCATCAGCTATTTCTTGAAAATAATCACCAGCAGACAGTATTAAAAAATAAACTAAACATTGGGCACAAAGAGCATAGACTCGGTTCTTAGGACGAAACTCGAAGTCATTAGTTTCCCTTTTGTTTTTTTTCTAGGTATGCTATGAGACTAAAAACCCACTCAGGTCCCAATGCCACTCCAGAGGATAAACAACTGGCCGCATTATGGTAAGTGTTTCCCAACTGCTTAAAATAGCTCCTGCATTGGCAAAGCAGTTGTAAAATGCATGACCTACTCAGAGACCTCTGATATGTAAAACTAATGGTGGGGGGGATGTCCACCCCGCCCCCTTCCACCTCTGCTATCTATCTTACTGCTACCCCACATTTGAGGCAGACTCACAGTGGCAGGAAATTCATTGGTACCTTACCTAAGGATCATTTTTTTCTATGTGTTTGTGTTTTAGAATCAGCTCTCTGTTTTGATAATTAGAATGTGAATTGTGCCAAATATAATTTCCCTTGTGTTTAACATTTTAGATGCAATCAAACTAATTCCACTGTCTCTTTAAAGGTGGGATTCATGTCTCTGAATCGGAGATGACTTTAGATGCAGCATCTTAAACTGGGTCACGATTTCAGATGGGGCTGCTCACATACCTGAAGGTGGGGGGCTTGTAGAAAATTCTGCAAGAGTACAAAGTTTTTGGAGCACTCAGCAACCAAAAATTAATTCAAAATTCGCACATAATGAATCAGTGGTGTTTGTGGCAGCACATGTACCCATGTGCATTTCTCGTGAGAAAAGAGGTCCCAAGTGGAAAAATTTGAAGAATCTCTACCTGAAAGTTCTCAGCACACAAAACTGAGTCCATGGTGCTTATGTCATGAACTTTTTTTTTCAAAACATAATATGTAATAGAATTTTCTCTGTTGAGAATAATTATGTGATTAGAATAATAAATTCCCCATTGTACCTACTCCCTCATGCCACCACTGATAATAACATGGCTCCCCTCTCTGGGTCCTCCTGTACTAGAGATTGCGTCTTTTTTCTCTGTCCAGGTTCATACTTCACCTGATGGTCAAGTTAGAAAATCTAGTATGGGGGTGGGGGGGCAGGAGTTAAGAGTGACCTACATAAAAGAGAGTCTCGTTATTTCATGTCATCATATCATTCGGAGTTTGGGTGCTAGGAAGAGACTGTTAAGTTACACTGGTATGTTGACATTGCTAACCTGTCAAGAGCGGATCCTAGTTAGTAACTCTATGTGGAAAATGCCGGGGAAAGGACTGGAGACCTAGTTGAGAGGTTAAGGCACTTGCCTTGCCTGCAGCCCACCCAGGGTCAATGCCTGTTGTCCCCTGTGCACTGCCAGAAGTGACCCTTGAGTACAGAACCAGGAGGACGTCCTGCGCACAGTTGAGTGTGGCTACCTCAGCCAAAACAAAAGCCCAACAACAAACACCAAGATGATTTATATAGCAGGAAATAGGCGTTTCATGTTCTGTATTGAGATTAGTAAATTAATGATGATGGATCGTTAGTTTAAGACAGATACCACTGGTGTGCAAACATCTGTGCACATTTTATAAGCATGCCAGAGCTTATAAAACAAAGATAAGCGTTTTATCCAGCATAGTTTTTATTGTTTATAAAGCACATTTATGTCTTATTATTTGAGCTAGTATGTAGTCCAGTAATTTGAGAGTGCAGGGAATAAAAAGCAGGTGGAAGGGCTATTCTTTCAGCAGAGCCAAAGCTAGCAGTCTGGGAAGTCAGGCAGAAATGAGCTGGTAACTCGCTGAAACTCATCTGGTGAGCAGAGCACATCTCTGTCCCACGATGGAGAGACACTGTCCCCTAGTGGTGGAGGATGAAAACGTCCAACCCAGGGCCCACGAGGAAGCAGGAAAGCCGATTAATACAAACAATCGGATGGAGATTTTATTTCGAAGTAATTCTTTGGTATTTTAAAGATTTTTAAAGGAATATAATATATTTATAGATAGATACGTCTGGGTCTATTACTATAGATATTTTTTAAAGGACCATCATATATTTATAGACAGATACCCATGTCTGGTTATATTATTGATCCATGATGCATGTGTGTATATCTATATATCTATATACGTATGTATGTGAATATGTACGCAGATAAATCCTAGAAACGACGAATGTTTTAGCTTTTCTTAGCAAAAATGCGCACGTTCTTCAGAACACTTTTCTCTTTGCTGCAGCTACCGATGCCTCGCGCTCCTTTACTGGCGGATGTTCCGGCTCAAAAGGGACCATGCTGTCAAGTATTCAAAAGCACTCATCGACTACTTCAAGGTACAGGATGGCTGATGAGCCTCACTGCTTCTCTGTTCACTGCCTCCCTGCCAAGGGCATTTTCGAGGAAGCACAGAGAAACTGTTTCTTTGAGGCTCACACTGGAGCCAATGATAGCTACACTAATCTCACTTGTGGCAGACCTGTGGCATTTCAGGGCTCAGAAATGGGTGTCAGGGCCCCATCTCATTTATCCCCATGCCTTTGCCCAGTATTTTATGGCATAAAGAGAAACACAATCCAGTTACTTGTTTCACTGTACAAGGAATTCCTCTTTATAACTAACATAGATGATCACTGAAAACTCACTCCTGCTTCTTAGAACTGACTGCTGAAAACTTCATCATAGCTGTCTTCAATAGCTGGTTTAATTTTTAATAAAGTGTTTTTTAACCACTAATGGTTGGAACCTGGAGGCACTGGGGGACTAGCCTTTGTGAATATAGAATTGGTCTGCAAACCGTGCCAGCGTGTACTCATCTCAGGGAAAGGAATCATTTTTCACTTGAAGAGTGCTCTTCTTTTTAAATTAATTTATTTTTACAAAGTTTTTCATGATGGGATTTCAGTCATACAGTGCTCCAACACCCCTCCCTCCACCAGTGCACGTTTCCCAGCACCAGTGTCCCCAGGTTCCCTCCCATCAACCCCCACCCCATCCCCTGCCTGCCTCTATGGCAGGCGCTTTTCTTCTCTCTTGGATAGTACTCTTTTTTTAAAAGAGAGAGAGAGAGAGAGAGAGAGAGAGAGAGAGAGAGAGAAGAAATTTTCTGTAAAGTACAGTGAGAGGGGGACCTGGAGTAATAATTCGTTTGAGATTTCCAGGCCTCTGCTCTCCTGAATCTGCAGAAAGAAGAACCCACGACCTTTGCCCCATGTTCCACCTTTACACTCACCTAAGGCCATTCGTCTCCCATGACAGCCGCGCCAGCCCTCTGCCCCCTTCCCGCACCTGCATGTAGGGTAATGGCCACTCAGCCACAACCACATCACAGTGGCAGGAATGGACACTAGTCCTTTCCATCTGCTGGAGTGATCAGGTTGTAATTGATCTTTTTCTTTTCTTTTAATATGGAATCTAAGAGCTAATACTGAAGAGAGTTCTTCAAGAAAAAAAATTGAGTAAAGGCAAGAGTGGAAGTTTATAAGCCACAGACAGAGCTTACAACAAAACTTTTTGGTCTGGGGGCCACTCTTGGCAGTGCTCAGGCACTGCTCCAGATTCTGCTGGTGTCAGCCATGTGCAAGTGTCTTAACCACTGTACTCTCTCTCTGGACCCTACAACAGCACTCTCTCCAGTCCCTACAATAGCACTTTTAAGGGATACATAAAGGCCTTCGTGTACATATGCAGTTTACCAGTATTTCCAGAGAAAGACTGGTAAGAGAATATTGCCTGCAAGCCCATTTCCTGGGGTCAGAGAGGTAGTAAAGGGTATATAAGGAACTTGCCTAGTGCTCAGTAGCCCTGGGTTTGATGCCTTGGCACAATGTTCAGGCACCATCAGCAGTGATCCCTGAGCACAGAGCTAAGAGTAAGGTTTGAGCACCATCAGGTGCGGCCCCCAAACTCCCCTTCCTCCCCAAAACTCATCCCCTCCAGATGTCAACTGGTATTTAGTGCAACTCTAGGTTCAGAAATTACAAAACCCTTCAGGGATGAGTTTATCTCTTATAAATGTGTTTTTATCATTCTGTAGCTGCCTCTGCATGAATGAGGTGGGTGCCCCATTTTCTTAGTCATTAAGCTGAGCAACAGAAGAAGAGATCTGAGGCAACCACAAAAGTATCACATAGAAGACCATTTTGTGCCATTTCGAAGATTCTACTAAAAACTGAAAATCCAGAGATTTTTTCAGAGGGATAATCCAGGCACTGAGGCACTCACGTTGCATCCTGTCCACCCCTGTTCAAATCCCCATGACCACCTCTCATCCTGCCGAAAGCCAAAACAAATAATTTCTGGACAACAGTTACAACTTTGTAAAATTAACCTTAAATTCTTTCCATGCAGAAGAAAGCTCTCTGGAGAAGCATGTGAGGGATATTTTCTTGTCTCTGGAATGGAAAATTCATATTTCCCCCCTCCCCTCGATTCATGTCTGATAAAGAAGCATTATTAGACCCTCAGAAAGGAAACCTAACAAGACTTAGCAACGGTCAAGTGCCTGACACAAACAACTGGTTATTCCTGAACCAGAATATTCAAAGAAATCATAATTTCTTCTTTCTTTGGGGCCTCTTGAAGAGGTACTCAGAGGTTGCTCCCAGCACAGTGCTCAGATGTCAGTCCACGTGTTTCTTGTGACCCGTGCAGTGCAAGGATGAGCCAATACCTCCAGAGTGCAAAACAGGAACATTAGTTCTCTGAGCTACTTCCCCCCTGAAATGAGACTCGTTTAATGCGTTATTACACATACTCTAACCTATTCTCAAGAGAAACTTCCTTTTATTTATTTTTACTTGTTAGGGTTTAGACCATACCTGGTAGTACTCAGGGCCTTCTGCCTCTGTGCTCAGGGATTATTCCTGGCAGGGGACCATATGGGGTGCCAGGAATCAAACCTGGGTTGGCTGCATACCAGACATGTGCCTTACCTTGAACTATCTCTCTGTTCCCAAAATTTTCTTTTAAATAAATAATTTTAAGTTAAATAACGCTTAAGTTAAAAAATTGATGAAGAACGGGAGGACAGTGACAGTGAAGTTAAATAAAATAAAATTTGTGCTCACTTCTGCAGCACATAGCACTGAAGCTCTGTCCTCCCATTGCTCATCGATTTTCTCAAGCGGGCATCAGTAACATCCCCATTGTGAGACTTGTTGTTACTGTTTTTGGCATATCGAATACATCACAGGGAGCTTGCCAGGCTTTGCCGTGCGGGTGAAATACTCTCGGTAGCTTGCTGGGCTCTCCAAGAGGGGCGGAGGAATCAAACTCAGGTCGGCCATGTGCAAGACAAATGCCCTATCCGCTATGCTGTCGCTCCAACCCCTGCAGCAAACATACTAAAAATAAATAAAATTTGATGTCATATGTATTTTAGGCATTAATTGCTTGTTAACAGTTCATGGAGATATGGCCTGTATTCAAATATCAGGTGCTAAAGGGCACAGAGAGATTAAGGCACTTGCCTTGCATGTGCCAATCTGGGTTTGATTCCCAGAACCACGTAGAGTGTTCCCCAAGTCACACCAGGACTGAGCCCTGAGCAGAGCCAGGAAACCAGGTATGGCCCCCAAACAAACACAAAATCGGGGGTTAAGAAATAATTTATTTTTAATGAGGGAGTAGCAGCACAGAGAGGAATGTCAGGGGCTAGCGGGTGTCTCTGGGGGTAAGGCAGCTGTCCTGCATGCAGACAGCCTGGTCTGAGTCCTGAAACCTCACCTGAATTCCTCCAAATGTGGCCCAGAAGTCAGGGAGTGAGACAGGAGTAGAGGCGGGAGAGAGCCTAGGCTGAAGAACCCCTTGCAGACGAACCCCTTGCTCAGTCCAGGATGAACCCCTTGCTCAGTCCAGGATGAACCCCTTGCTCAGTCCAGGATGAACCCCTTGCTCAGTCCAGGATGAACCCCTTGCTCAGTCCAGGATGAACGCCAAGACTGAGGAGAGTGGCCATCCAGCCCCCGTAGAGCTGGGTGGCTGATCGTCACTGCAGAGCTGAAGGAATCCACTGCCCGCCTGTGGGTATTCCTTGCCCATCCCGTTTCTGGGAAGCAGTGTTTTAGCTGCAGTATCTGCCATCGTTTCCCTTGGTGGTTCCCTGAGAACAGTTTCCTGCTGCCCCCCACTTAAGCTCACCCAGTGTCAATGTTTCTGTTTCCCGCAGAATTCATCTAAAGCTGCCCAGGCGCCGTCTCCGTGGGGGGCCAGTGGAAAGTAAGTTCCCATTCCCACCTCCTTGAGCTGCCTCATGTGGAGGGCACTGAGACTGTGAGCCCCCGCTCATCCTGCCTCTCTGCCCCTGTTTCTCTGCCCACCTCCAGGAGCACGGGAACGCCCTCCCCCATGTCTCCCAACCCCTCCCCAACCAGCTCCGTGGGGTCTCAGGGGAGCCTGTCCAACGCCAGCACCCTATCCCCGTCCACCATCGTCAGCATCCCACAGCGCATCCACCAGATGGCAGCCAATCATGTCAGCATCACCAACAGCATCCTCCACAGCTACGACTACTGGGAGATGGCCGACAACCTGGCCAAGGAGAACAGAGGTGTGCGGGGCGGGGGTGGGTTCTAGAGGGAGAAGCAGGAGCTGTGTCCTGCCGAGGAAGCTCCGCTTGGGTCAAAGGCTCTTGCGTGTGAGTGTGTGTGTGTGTGTGTGTGTGTGTGTGAGAGAGAGAGAGAGAGAGAGAGAGAGAGAATCTGCATGAATGTGTGTGCGCATGTGTGTACGCTATGCGTCAGTATGCACGTGTGTGTGAGTATGTGCATGAATGTGTATGTATGTGTATATGCATGAATGTGTTTGTGTGTGCAACTATATGTATGTGTGTGCACGTGTGTGGGATAGAGATGTTATAGGTGCAGATATACATACATTTACAAATAGATATATTTATTTTTCCCTTTAGACAGTGAACACCTTATAGGTAGGGGCTACATTTTATTCAGTTTTTGATTCCTAGCATTTGTAGATGATGTAAGACACCATTCAGAATTGAAAGCTCAACAAGTGCAGATGTTACTAGTTAAATCATAAGTATTTACAACTGAAAAGAGTACATATATGTTGCAGCAAATAATGTTTTATTTATTTATGTGTTTACTTATTTTGATTTGGGGTTTACACCTGGTGATCCTTGGGGGTTTCTCCTGGCTCTGCACTCAGAAATCACTTCTGGTGGTCTCAGGGGCTATATGGGGTGCCAGAGATGAGCCTGGATCAGCCCCGTGCAAGGCAAGTGCCCTCTCCACTGTGCTGTTTTTCCCTTCGCTGCAGGGCTTTTAAATTAATGTTTGTTTTTATTGGTTTAAAGGGATCACAGGCTTATCATGGCTGGGTTTGTAAAGCATTGAAAACCAAAGAAAGAAATAATGAGCAACCTTATCAACAAGACATTGTTAATATTCCACTAGTGTTTTTTCAAGTCTTCTCCAAATAGGCCTGATTTTTACCAAAATCAGTTATATGCAGTTTTTGTCACTTTTTTAGTTCAGCATTATTTCACCAGGCATTTCACTGTTTCACTAATTACAAAAATGCCTCTATGGTGATTCTATAATAGACTTTTATTAATCGGTCTGCAATCATAATGCCGACATTTTTCAACCCCTCTTGGTGGCGTTAGTTGGCTTCTCGTTTTCACCATTACAAAGGCTGCTGTGATAAACATTCTCATTAAGTAAATCAGTGTCCATTGTTCTGGTTCTTTTCTTCTCTCTCTCTTTCTCTCTCTCCTCTCTCTCCCTCTTTCTTCCTGTGTGTGTGTGTGCACACACGCACGTGTGTGTATCTGTGTGTGTGCACGCACTACAGCTGACAGTGCTCAAGGTTTCTCCCAGCTCTGTGCTCAGGGATCACTTCTGACATGGCTTGGGGTATGCTTTCTCCAGCCCCAAGTCTAGTTATTCTATTTGGAGGGGGTTTGGGAAGAATAGGTCTAGATTCTTTTAATGTAATTATTATATATAGATGTAATTAACTCTGCCCCACCCCACACACAAAAAAATAGAATAATACCAATTTGTTCTTTTTCTCCAGCAAGGAGGGTACATGCAAACCTGTGCTCTCCTCATGCCATTAAATGTGGCTTTTGTTCCCGTAGTACCATAAGACTTTAAGGACAAATCCATAATATCCATGATGAGCACTTGTGACACAAACAGAGAAGAGACTCCTTAGTCCCTGAAACCGATCGTAGCCCCATAGAGCCATAACACACCACCCAGATGGGCACCCGCAGAGCAAGTAGCATGCTAGGGAGGCCGGTGCCAGGGCTCCACAGAGACTGAATCCTGAGTTGTCGTGAGCCAGTTTGGAAGTAAGGACAGTGGCTGAGTGGCTAGAAGGGATATGGGCAAAACCGGAGCTCCCCTGTAGGAAACTTGGCAGATCCAAGGTAGAGGCCCTGCCGCCCCTGTGTGCACACTCCACTCCTCCCCCCTGCACCTGCACTTCTTGGGGCTCATTCTCCCTTCCCCTGCGGGGCTGTCTTCACCTGCACCTGGGGAAACTCCCAGACATTGATTTTCAAGCAGTCCAGTAGGTAGGCACTTGTCTTGCACACGCCACCAGGTTAGGCACCACAGATGCTTCCCGGAGTCTCACAGAGCCAGGAGAAAACTCAGCACTGCTGGGTCTGGCCCACTCCATTCTGCCCAAAAGGAGCGTTATTTAGTAATCCAGTCGTGCTGGTATAGCAGCCACATGAATTGATTTGCTTCTGTCAGCCACTAACGTGTGATCTTTGCAGGAACAGCTATTGTCCACCATCTATCTTGGTCCCTCCTGCTCCTTCCTCTTTGTACCTAATGTAGAGCCTGACACTTATTCCCTGGTGAGAGGGCCAATCTCTTCAGACTCCTTCCCAGTCTGGGAGGAGTTGGGGGAAGGTCAAGGCCCCATCCAGAGCAGGCATCATCTTGGGGGGGGGGGGGGTGGAGTGAGAGCTTTCCCTTTGCTCTTATCAGTTGAATGAGACACAGACGACCGAATACCTGGTGGAGTTCTCTCTCTTTGGGTGTTATTTGACTCAGTGGCTGCTGGAGCCAGCCCCTGTGTGGAACAGAGAATGTTTGGTTTTATGGAGACCGTGAGTGTCACTGTTCCTGGAGTCTCAGGATCGTGCCTCCATGGCACCTAACGACTCTCTCCATCCCCCAGAATTCTTCAATGACCTGGACCTGCTCATGGGACCTGTGACCCTGCACAGCAGCATGGAGCACCTGGTCCAGTACTCCCAGCAGGGCCTGCACTGGCTGCGGAACAGCACTCACCTGTCGTAGGGCCTCAGCCTGAGCCGGACTTGCCCTCAGCTCCACGGACAGCTTGATGTTTCTGGACACTGTGCTACTGATATTCCAGCCACAGCATTTATCAAACTGCGGTGAACATTTTCTCAGCATCCAACAATTTCCCAGGGCATGTGTGTTTGTATGTGTGTGTGTGTGTGTGTGTGTTTAAGAAGCTCTCTGTGTATGTATCTTCGAAGCACAGCCCTTTAGAACATCCTTCCTTTGCCTGATTTCCAGAATCCTGGACAAGACAAAGTGATCAGAAGTCAGAAAGACACAGTTTTACACACACACACACACACACACACACACACACACACACATACACACACACACACACACACACACTTTCAGTCTCAAAGCTAAACCATGAATTCTTCGAACATTCAACCAAAATCTCATGGGTTAGTGAACCAGGTGCAATGCCGCACACCGAAAGCTTGACTGCCAGTTAAGATGAACCTAGTTCTTATGCTATTGATTACTTTCAGTATTAATATACTATTCCCCAATTATTTTTGATTGTGTGTATTAATGGATAATTGAATAATGACAATAAGTCAGTTATTTTTGTGCTGGGCGTTTACTAGATTGCATGTTACCAAATATCCTGCCTCTTGTCTGATATCCCCCTTCCTTCCAACTTTATTGTGAACTAAATGCATTTATAAGCCAAGGAATCAATTCTCACAGGTCTTCCCTGCCCTGCTCCCAAATTGGTATAAAAATAGCACTGTGATTGGTAAGAAACATAGTGTGTTTGAAAACTAACCCACATGAACACAGCCGTGGCTCGGCTTTGAAGCTCAGTTAGAAGCCAAGACCTACCACACAGCCAGCCGGCCCAGAATGGAGCTCAGTCCCGCCATGGTGATGTGGTAACTGTGAAGCCATGTGGCACTTGTTGGCCGATGTTTAGCAAGTCTTTTTTTCCCCGCAACAGCTTTCTTCACAAATTTTCTTGGCCGAGTCAGAAAGTTAGCTGGAAAGTCCCTTCGCTATGAAATCTAGATGTGTCGTTGGTCAAGCAAAGACCGATTTGCTCCCAAATTACCACCCAGCCCTCTCCCTCTTTGTGCAGAGGCACCGAGGTAGGCCGCTGATGCCTTTCCCCGGGGAGTGTGATTCAGGCTTGGGTCCATGAGCTGCTCAGTGCACAGGGTCAGTTATTCCTCCCTGTCCTGCTTGTGGTACCAACAAACAGGGCCATCATGCTTCCATCCGATGCATCTGGTATGTTTACGTCTTGCCCTTGATTCTTTCCCTCTTTTTATAATTGAGTTTACATTTTAGTTTTTGACATCTTGTTTACAGTTTCTGTCTGAAACATATTATATAGTCTCCTGTTATGTCCTAGATTTAGCGTTCTTGTTAACTATATATTTGGATATAAAGATACTGGTGAAAGGAAAACAGCTTCTGAAAAAGAAGGTAGGCCTGACCCTACTTTAAAAACACAACACAGAAAAATGTCCCTGAGGCCTCTAGCTTCTTGAGCTGGCCTGAGGATGTTCCAAGAAAGGTAATGGGGTGTGAAACAACCCTCCTTCCCAGCCCCCAGCGGCAGCAGACATTGATAAGGGTGACTGTTACTTGCTTTCACTGATGATTGCACTAATTTGGTTGAAATTCTAACATTTTTGTCCGCCGGATCTGTAGGTGAGATAAGTTTTCTATCAATTTTGTAGTTCTTGCCATTGATTAAAACCGTACAAACCAGATTGAACAACTTTAGTGATTTAAAATTGAGATGATCAAGCAAAGGGTTTGTGAAATTTGCATTTGGTCTTGGACTTCAAGAATCTAGAAATGTTAACAGTATTTGTATTTAAGAGTTTTCTAAATGAGGTGCTTTTTACATCCTTTTCACTAATTGGTGTCAGAGTTCATGATTCAATCTATTTTGGAAAATTGAATCTATATTAAGAAATTTTGAATTATTTTTTGGAGGACCCACACTTAGTCCTACCTGCTCTTGAAAAAATCTGATAAAACCCTTAAAGCCTCTTGTAAACGGATTCACAGTGTGTTCACCAGGCATCCCCAGGGCACCTTTCTGGTGTTGCCCATCATTAAAGTTGCAGGCTTTGTGGGCCACACTGTGTACCTACCCCAAGCCCCACTGAAGCACATGAGTAGCATCAGGTTGATTGTGCGAGTAGCATTTTTATCGACACTTTGATGACCATGTTCCTCAACCAAACTTTAAATTTGTCATATGGGGGTTGGTGAGGAAGTGCTCCTCTGCTCACCATGTCCCATTTCATTGGGAGAACATGTTGGGGTAGCAGCTTTTCTTTGCTTTGGCATAGATGACTTTTGATAAGGAACGGTTCTCCTTTTGTTGGTTGTGAAATTCATTCATAACCTATTTTTTTAGTTTTATTTAAGTTAGAGATACCCTTCTTTCATTTTCTCATAAAATCAATAATGCTCACTATAAAAATTCCAACCCTAAAAAAACAGAAAGTAGAAAACCCTTTTCCCTGGAAATACCCAGTGCTCAGAGTTCTTCTACAGCCCTTATAATGAAGAATATCTATGATTATTTCTCTTTGAAGACATTAATTCCTAAGAAATTTACCACAGTTCAGCTCGCCTTAAGTTTTCATGACCTGAATGGATTCCAATCTTTATCACAACGTTAGAGTTATCTCTGAGAGAAACCCAGATGTAGTCCTGGTATTTGTAACTAGTCTATACAAGATCAGAATTATGTGCAGATTTGTGATGGAAAGGTTCGATTAAAACATATTTCTAGGGACTCGAGCAATAGTATAGAAGGTAGGGCATTTGCCTTGGCATGCTGCTGACCCAGATTCCATCCCATCTGGTCCCCCAAGCACCACCAGGAGTGATCCCTGAGCAGAGCCAGGAGTAAACCTTAAGTACTTCTGGGTGTGGCCCCAAAATCCAAAATAAAACATTTCTAGAAATTTCCTAATTGCAAATGGAAACTCGGACACACAGTTGAAAGAGGATTGTACTGGAAAAACAAAGAATTGGCAAATTGTGTACTAGGTTGAACATCATGGAACCAATGCAATGAGACTCTGCACTAAAGCATATCTTAGTGTGTACATCAATGGTGTGTGTATTATATAACAGTGATGTGTACATTCTAACATACCATAATTAATATACAGTTTGTATAAATGCATACATTTAAAAATATATATGTACAATACAGCTAACATAAAATTGTAGTGCACCTGAAGGATATTCCTAGTGCCTGATCTTGAGTATAAGTCACTTCACATTTGCATCACATTGGAAGTGCAGTAATTGTTATAAAATTAATGAGTGCAGCCAACATTATTTATGAATCCCATCTTTGAAACTGTGCAGTAGTATATACATATATATTTTTAAATAACATTTTTCACAGTTTTCCAGAGTTACTGTTGAAATCTGTATCACCGAAATAAAAACAAAAAAGCAAAAGCAAGATTTTTTTAATGACGTAGACACTCTTCAAGCCCAGTAATCTGTGTGTGATTTCCTGTTTGTAGATACCCAAGAGACTTTAGCAGTCACCAGCCTTAATGCATGTACAGGATATTATTGTGACTTAATTTAACTGCAGTTTTTAATCCATGTGAAATTGGAATTTATAAACTGACTTGGATTAAATATGTCTGCCTTTCTAAGGTTGCAAATGTTACATTAAATGATTTATGTTGTAAATGAGAGAAATTGAGTTGTACGTAAGAAATGCCCACCAATTTCTGTGAATATTTTTTACAAGGAAATTTCAGAAATTTCAAGGTATGTTCATAGAAGCATTCTGGTTCCCAGTTCATAATCTCTTTAGAAGTGACCTTGTTGATCCATGAATTTTTTAAGTGTAGCATCCACAGATTATCATTATGAAGTCTGATATTTTTCATGGGGGTAGTATGTTTTTCTTCGTTATGACTACAGTTTACAGTTTGTCTTTTTCATTCTCCGATACATATATCCATGCATGAGAACACCTACCAGCGTTTAGAAAATACCACCACCACTGAATATGAAGCTTGACAGATTCATATTGATGGTGGCACTGGTGTTGGTAAGTCGGAGACCCCACTGATCTGACATTCCTAACCACACAAGTTAATTTTCTGACTTGTGTATGCCCAACTTTTTAACACAGACCAGCATGGTGGAATAATTCTTCAGAGAGTTGAGTAAAATGAAAGAATTTTGAATCAGAGATGGAAACATTAGACCAGTCACTTGCTGTGATCCATGCCCCAGTACAAAAATTTTGCCAACCTCCTTTTTACCCTCTCTTACTCCATGTTCATTCCACTCCTCCCCAAGTTAAACTAAACCGAAAGGCAAGGACAGCAATGGTAACGAGCCGCCCTTCCACCTTGCCCTTAGCCTTCAACACCCGTGCTCCAGGTCCTGCAGCAGGGGCCTGGGCCTTGCCACCAAGTAGCACACGTCCTTCCACGCTAGGGGTCTTGCCTCTGGTTCTCCAGGGACTACTGAGTTTGATTCTCTTTCAGAGGTGGTCTAGGATAAAAAAAAAAAACTCAGCATCCTTCAAGAACTGTCTTGCTTTTATGCAAGTTTGCCTGCTAGCTACTCAAGTTGAAGTCTGTTGCTGTCAGAATCATCTTTTTAAGAAGTAACACATTTTCAGTGTCACCTGGATCAACTGGCGTCTTGAAAGACTTTTTTTTCCTAGTGAGAGATGAAGACGGAGTAGACTGAATTCCCAGCAATGTGGAGCCAGAGTTTACTTCCTTGTTTTCCCAGTCCCAGAGGAGCACAGTTTTCGGTATTATAACTTACTAGAAAATAGCACAAGAAATGTTCAGATACGAGATTTGTGTTCTTTTTGTCCAAATTAATTATTCTGTATATGTCATCAGAGGGGTCAACTTGTTTGCTTGGCATGAGGAAAACTATAAAACCCTGTTATCAAACTAATTACATCTGACCACAGTTTTGGTTTTTATTATGTAATTGACACTCTGTTTCAGAGCATCACTCTGATGAGTTTTGGGTTGGCTGAAAGGGGATTTAGAGCCACAACTCTTAATCACAGTAATGGGAATCAGGGGACTAAATCCCTATGCATTATTTTGGAAATCCACTTCATAACCTATTTTAAGCACACTTTCCGAGGAATGAATTTAAAGTACTAATTGCA